TTTCTTAAATTGAGTAATTTTACTTTTAATTTTTAAGTGGAGAATTTTTAGGCACAACAAGTAAAGAGACATCTATTGTATGTCATTAATAGTTAATAGTTTCCAGAAGGTTTTACGTTACACGTTTAGAATTAATGTAGTAATAATAGGTATTGTAATATTCATATAGATTGGCTATTATTCCTAATTAATATAATATAGTTCCAACAATTCTATTGTGCATATATAATTTATTATATATAATTTGTTTATGGGACAATTTGTTATATATAATTAAGAAAACTAAATATCTACCTTCTCAATTGATCAGAAAAATTAATTATGATATTATTTATGAAGAATAAGCAAAAATATATTTACACCTGAATCAAGTCTTAACATATGTAAAAAAAATTTAAACACAATTTGGATGATGGAGATGTTTAATTTCTTCGAATATTAAGGGAAAAATTATGTAAGTTATGAAGTGTTTGATTCTTCTTATAATAACATTTTTTGAGAGCCTTCTATTATTGGTTGCTGCTATGAATTTGCTGCAATTATGGTTCTTTTAGGCAGAATTGTTTAAGGTAATTGATATATCTATAAAAGTAATTGGGTGGAGATAATAGCAGCATTGACGCTGAAAAAACAAACTCTGTAAAAGTAAAATAAAATAAAATTTGCGAAATAACTGACCTTATCACTGAAGAAAGGTTGAATAGGAATGACATGCCTTTCTTTACTTTCTGGGTCATTAGTTGTTATCTCTTTCTTTTGGTCACTTGAAAATGAAGAAGCAAAAGCAGTCAAAATTGGGCAGTTAACAACAGTAATTCCATACAACCATGGAAACTCAAGCCCACTACTTCCCTCATAGAAACATTTCATGTTGGGACAAGACTCTAAAATAATAGTGAATAGGTTAGGAAACATGTCTTCAGCTCCTTCTCCTGTGATCACTTGCTCCATCGTGGCACAGTTTGTGACTTTCAGATTAAAGAGTTGCACCAAGCCCAATGCCATGGAAGAGGTTAGAAGGAATTTGGAACTGTTATAGTTACAAACTTCTAGAAAT